AAGTAAAATCTTTTATTGGACCAACTTCTGTTGGTGAGTGAGACAAACTTTCAAGCTTCCAAAGAGCTTTTCTTCAGGTCTGGGAAACATATTCAGAGTGTCATTTTCCAGATCTGAAGAAGAGCTCTGTGTCAGCTCGAAAGCTTGTCTCTCTCAGCAAGAGAACTTGGCCCAATAAAAGATACTATCTCACCCACTTTGTCTCTCTAATATCCTAGGACCAACACCGCTACAACAACACTGCATATCTAGTAACTAAGATGCTAATTCAAAGAAACACATTTACTGAAGAAGGAAATATTAAATTACCTCAACACTAACTAGGATATAGCGCAGTTCATAGCTTCACTAACTAGAAGGAAAATTGCGTAAATTTTATAAACTTTTCATTAACTCAGAATATTCTATCATGCAATTACAACTCTTAGATTAGAAATATTCCCTAGCTGGGTGCCCTGAACAGTCACAGAGAAACTTCAATAGTTTATTTTTGGCACTTTCAAGTTCTACACATATATTTTATAACAATAAATGTTGTTATACTCCTTTTATACCCATAGCATTTAATGTTTAGCTGATCTATTTGGCTTAAAGTATGCTTTCCTTTGAACCATTCATCATTAGCTGTGGTATCTTGCTGTATTTTATTGGGGATATGAAATATGCTTTGTCAATCCATTATTAGTCTTCTTAAAGAAGCTATATGGTTCCTTACCTCCAACAAGCAGCGTGGATCCATTCCCGAAGATCAGGTAGCTACTATATTTATAGGCACAGTAGTAAATGCCAGAGTCAGTCTTTTGGACGTTGCTGATTTCCAGGGTCGAGCTGTGTGTCTCGTGTTTGCAAACAAATTTACTTACATTTTGATCATCCAAACAGCGCTTAATGCAGGTGGGTTTCTGACCTTCTCTTCTCAAATACCAAAACAAGCTACTTCCTCCTTCCAGGTTTTCTTTGGAAGAACAGTGGATCTTTGCGGTGTCACTAACTTCAACAAACTGGATCCGCTGAGTCTGGTACAGAAATAACCGCACTCCTAGCACTGGAGAAATAAAATATCGTTATAGTCAGTGTCGGTCAGGTCTCCAACTGCCACAGATGGACTGGATAGCTCAGTAATAGAATTTACTTAATCTGATAATATTTATCCTCTGCATCCCAAATACTTAAAAAGCTGCTCTAACTTCAGACAAGTGAATGGAAATCGAATTAATATCCAGGAAAAGTTTCAAAACATATCATAGATACAGTATTCAATACTAGTGTCCTAATGAAGAGGCTGTTTTCCCAATTCCAGAGCTTAATGCAGAAGTTTTACCTAAACAAGATAAAATCAGATACTCGGCAAAGATCATGTTCATAAAAATAGTAAGACAAAATCCTGACACACTGGCCCAAGGGCTGATGCCTAGTGCACTGCTGCAGTGACTGGGTTCAGTGTCTCAGTTATGTCCAGTGAGGAACGCCTCCGAGGAGGATGTGCTCTGGTGATAGACACTAGGTGGGTGGGTTAAAGATTCTACAGAGGCTACAGCATTTCTTGTAGACAGTCTCTGCATTCCAGTGGCACAGGGGTGTAAATAAATATTCAGAATAATTAAAAATCCAGAGTATAGATTATCTATATAAGCAATGCCACATGAGTTCGGAGCACAACTCCCATTGACTGTCAAAGGAAACTGCTCCTAAACCACTTAGGTCCTTTGACAATCCCAAGCCAAATCGCTCCCCAGCCTTCCATGTTTGGTTTATTGTAGCACAGTTCTTGATGGCACAACGCAGACATGTAATGATTGTTTGTTGTCTTCTCTTGGAGGACTGTTAACTTCACTTTAGATCATCAAACTGAAAGCTCTGATATGTGTGAGAAAAAAGATAACGTAAGACATGATTTTCAAAATAGTGTAAGTCCCATTTTCATAAGTGACTTCGGGACAGATTTTCAAAGGTATTTAGGTGCCTATAAATGCAGACAGATGCCTAGTGGGATTTTCAAACACGGCTCAGAGGGCTAGGTGCCTCACTCCTACTGAAGTCAATGGAAGTTAAACGCCACACCTTGAGTCAAGCAATAAACTGGTTAAAATTAACTGAACGGGGCTGGTTAGAAAGCTGCGTCTGGCTGCACAAAGCAGGGAGAGAGAAGTAAAGTGCATCTGTCAATGTCCCTTCTGAAACAGCTGACAATAGAGGGCAATGTGGACTAGTGATTAGAGCAATTGGCTCAACAAAGAACAGAATCTCCGGGTGCCTTGGCCATGTCTCCTTAACCCGCACCCCACTTGTGAGGCTGCTCTGGCTGGCGGCAGCTCCCCTGGATGGATCTGTCACAAACCCC